GCTGGTTGCTTGGCAACTGTTGTTATTACACAGTTTCTGTACAGATTAATAAGTTATAACATCAGTGAGTTTTACAGCAGCTGGTTGGTGGATTTGGGGGGTTAACAGTCTGTGAACATCCAGTTCAGAAAGAGAAGAGTTTTCTTTGATCAGTTGTTCATGTCGGTAACAGAAGAACTGAACCTGCAGAGATCAACATGAGGCTGATACAGAAGCTACTGACAGAGATGACATCATCATCTCACAGGCTAACCCAATAAAATGTGATCATCATCACATCTTTACATTACAGACACACTGTCAGTCTGAGGCCTGCACAGAAAGCAGGTCAAGCTGCCATGACGACCTCATCCATCACTGCATCAGGACAACCAGGATTATCTCTGCCCCTGAGGGGGGGTTTACCCCTGTACCCCNNCCCCCCCCCCCCTTCTAACTTAATATGTGCAGCCTTTGTTCACCCCCCCACTGACACTGATGGTCTTCCCGGCAGAAGAAATCATCAACTGCATCTTTTATGAAGACTTGTTTTGGATCAGGGTGGAACTGAATCTGATCAATAAGAGCCGGGGAAGTTAATTTAATTAAGTAAAAGAAATGTTTCTCTGTTGCAGTCAAACAGGAAATCAGAAAAACGGATTTTAAATTCAAGTTATTTCTTATTTCTGGGTCAGTGTGTACTTTAGACTCAAATGGGTTGTTTTCTTTTTCACGGTCAAAAGGGGATTTTTATATTTTATTATATATAAAATGAAAACTTCCTCTATACAGTAAGAATGATTTCCTTTAGTGCCTCGGGTCTTTTGGGCAGATAAATAAATAATAATTCAGTTTTTTACGTCTGTGATAATGAGTGTTGTAATACGACATGGTACCAATGTCTGTCCGCTTCTTTAAAGACAAAATGAAAACATGCTTAAAGATTGTCGGACAACCTTGAGAAACTTTATGAATAATACAGAATAATATATTAAGGCTGGCCAACAACAATGTCTCTCACCTTGACCAGTGAATACTGATTGTTACCATCAAACCAGAGAAACTGGACTCCAAGATTTCACTAATAAAGCTTAATCCCAGATCGATGCACATTGATTTTGTAATGTTATGTTAAAAGGTATTTACCTTTATTTTTCAGACTCAATCTAAGTATAAAGTATTCTCATCATCATTACAAACCAAATAACTAATTGATTAATTGAGAAAATAAATGGCACATAATGAAAATAGATAATCAGTCTGAATGGTTATACACTTTTTCACAAGTGAATAAGATGATGATAGTACTGTTGATTTCAATCTGACGTGAGGAATTAAAGATCATTTACCTGGAAAGGCGTGTGGGTTGGACGACCCTCTCTTGAGGCACTTGGAACAGAGAATATGTACAGAGTAGTTGAGGCCGGGCCACTCCTGCAGCAGCACATTCAGCTCCTCCACCAGCGGGGTGATGGCCTGCCAGGCGGTCCAGATGTTGGGCAGCGAGGCGTGGCTGGCAATGGACAGAGTCTCTGCCTGCAGCTTCCCTTTGGAGGGCCGGTGGCTGATCACCACGGGGACTTTACCTCGATAGGCGAAGATCTGGTGCCTGCCGTCTGACCTCTGAACCACATGGCTGTTTATCTGCACACTGAAGCGTGCAAACAGTCCGGGAGGAAACAGGAAAGGGAAGCTGTACTGGATGTGCAGCTGCTCCACAGAGAAGAAGTGACACACAGGCAGAGAGCTCCCACTGGCTGAGGCCTCCGCCCGGGGCTCCTCATTGCTGACATAGCTGGGGAACTTGTACCACGCTGTGGCTCCGTTCAGAGGCTTGCTGCGGGGTTTGTTGATGCAGTAGCAGATCCCCATCTTCTCCAGGAGCTCCATGATGAGGTGGAGATCCTGCTGGGTCTGGATAAGCGGTCTGAGGAGCAGGCGGATGACGTTGGAGGGCAAAAGGCCGTGCTGAAGGAAGCCCTCCACATGGTGCTGCAGATGTGTCACCCTGAGGTTTTCTCCCTTCTCGTCCTCTATAACCAGACTCACCCTCCCCTTGTCCCCCCTCTCCCCCTCAGAGAGGAGCCTGTCCAACAGTGTGGACTCGTCCCTCTGGAAGAAGACGTTGAGAATTGCAATGAATCGTGGAAGATTATGAAAAACATATTCCTTCAGGGTGAGGCTGTCCTCAAAGTAGAGCAGCTTTCCACTCTCGTGCAGGTAGGATAAGGCGCTCTGCAGTCGGTCCTCCGTGAGCCCCGCCTGCAGGCCCAGGCGGGCCGAGTCCCACCAGGAGAGCCACAGATCTTTGGGCTTAAAGTGCAACTCCTCCAGCATCTGCCAGGACTTTGGCAGCACACGGTGGAGGTTGGGGAAGATCTCCCTGTGGTCTGCAACAGACATGAGCTTCTCTCTCAGCCTCTGAATGTTACTCTGGGTCTCTGTGCAGCTCACACTCAGCACAGGAGACAGGATCTGCAGCCTGTGGTTCAGCATGTACTGCAGCTGGGCTTTCCTCCGCCTCAGGTTCCTGTCAGAGACTCCGTAGAAGAGGACGTGAGGGCTGGAGGAGCGGACGATGAAGCCCTGCTCCAGCGCCTGATCCACCTGCAGAGCCAGACTCCTCAGGCTCTGGATGTCTCTCTTCTCCTGCAGGCCGATCTGTCTGTGAATGTCCAGACTCTTCTCCTCCAACTCCACCTCCCCACACAGGTCTGCATGCGTGCCCACCAGGCACACAACAGCGTGGGGTACTTTGGCACTGAGGAGGTGCAGGAAATGCCCGACATGGACATAAAAGTTCTTGGGCGAATATGCTTTGAGATTCACAACGAGAATGTAGAGAGCACCGGGGGAGAGAAAAAAGGGTTTGATGAGGTCGTAGTTTTGCTTCCCTGACAGATCATACACTAGAAATGTAAGACAGCGATCAGCGTCCGCCACCCAGTTAGTGACTTCAATTCCTTTGTTTCCCTGGATTCCTTTAACATCCTGCTGTGTGCTCACCACACTCTGCCTGAGCCGGGTTTTCCCAGCATTTTTCATCCCCATCAGGACCAGCTTCAGCCGCGGCTTTACAGCAAGCTGCGAATGTGCCAGCTCCTTCTGATAGGCTGCGATGTAAGGGATCCCCTTCATGCACACCTCATACGGAGGCTGGATGAGAGGGTTATCCTTCACCTTCCAAATGTTCACTTTGGACAGCTTTCCAAAATTATCTGGAAGTATGGCTATTTGGTTACCCTGTAGAACAAGTTCCTCCAGCTTCTCCAGCTCCACGATGGAATCTGGCAGATATGTGATGTTGTTATTGTCCAGCCAAAGGTTGGACAGCTTCACCAGCTGCCCTATTTCCTCGGGAATATGAATCAGTTTATTCCGGCTTAGGTAAAGTTCCTCTAATCCTGTGATGCTGAAAATAACCTGGGGGAAGTTCTCAAACTCGTTAGAGGACAAATTGATCATTTTGAGTCTCTGCAGCCGACCAAAAGCAGGAGGCAGCACCGTGAGGTTGTTCCCGTCCAGCATCAGGCTCTCCAGGTTGTGCAGCTGACAGAATGTGTCGGGTAACGTGGACATGTGAAGACTGCTGAGCCACAGGATTTTGACAGACTGCAGCTTCATGATGTCTGCTGGTAACGTCTCAAACTTGTTTCCAGAGCAGTCAAGTTCCTCGAGCTCGCTGAGGGCCACGATCTCAGGGGGGAACTGGTTCAGCTTGTTGTGATCTGCATCCAGAGTCCGCAGTTTGGTCAGGCTGGAGAAAGATCTGGGGAAATCTCTCAGGTCGTTGAAGCTGATGTCGAGCTCCTCTAAAAACTGAAGCGCTCCGATCTGAGCCGGCAGATACTGGATTTTGTTGTGACTGATGCATAGCTTCTTCAGCCCCTTCAGCTGACCCACACCCTCAGAGAAGCTTCTCAGGCAGTTGTGGCTCATGTCGAGCTCCACCAGCTGCCCCAGCTCAAACACCACACGAGGAACGGCTGAGAACTTGTTCCTGCGGAGGACAAGGATGCGCAGGTTGTTGAGGGTGGATCCCAGCCCGTCTGGCAGCTCCTGGAGGGAGTTGTTTCCCAGATTGAGCACCTCTATTTCGGCTATATCCTCCGGCAGTATGATCTGGTTGTCTTTGGAGCAGAGGGTGAGCTGGCGCAGGTTGCTCCGCAGCTTCCTGGAGCGCAGGGCGGCATCCCTCCACAACCTGGCCGTTTTCAGATTGTTCTCCTTGTCCTCCATGGCGTTGCAGCCCGACCCCTCCTCCTCCTCCTCCTTGTTTTCATTGAGAGTTTTCATGGAGACCGAGCGGGCAGCATGGTGGACGCTGAGCCCCAGAAACCAGCAGCAGACCCTCCGGCGGAGAGGAGACAACAGACGGCTTGTGTCGGGAAATATTGGAGCTTTTGGTCGGCAGCAGCAGGAGCGTGTGTGTCCGCGGAGGCATCCTTTTCTCCTGCGCCACTCAGCACACAATGAGAAGCAACCAGCCGCTTACAGATCCGGGTTTAATCCACAATCCGAGCTCCACCGCCCCGTGTGCACTCTCTGCTTCCCCGGCGTCCTCATCGCCACATCCCGCCGTCCTCTGGGTCTCTCTCCCGGGGTCGAGCAACGCGTTTGTGGAGCTTTCTGAGCCGCCTAGTCTCTTCCTGGGAGCGGGGAGTGGAAGTGAGGCAGCAGCCGCTCACACTGCGTCAGATCTCTGAACCCTCCTCCTCCTCCCCCCCCAGTATCCCTCCCTTTCTCCTCCTTCCTGCTGTGTGGAGAGGAGGAGGAGGAGGAGGAGGGAAAGTGTTTGTCCTCACTTTGTTAAAATGGTTTAAATCAGCACAGAAAGAAGAAAGAAGAGAGATTGATGTCTTTATTAGAAACATCCCAGAGTTTAAAATATAATATCACATAAAGATAAACAGCTTCAGATTGTACACAGCCTGAATGTTTACAATAAATAATAATCATAATAATACATAATAATAAATAAATGAAATAAATGACATTTTGAAGACAGTGAAGTGAAATAGTATAAAATGATAAAGCTCATTCTTCTGGTCCACATGGTCCACAGAACCAGGACTCTGTCTCCACCTGCAGGACAGGATGTGCACATGAGGAAGCCTCATGCACACATCAGGAGGGATGAACAGGCGCTGTGTGCTGTAACAGAGTGTGACAATGATTAATGCTACAGTACTGAACTCAAACCCTGATCACACAGAGTACATGCTTCTCTTTAGAGCAGCTACCCATCAAACCCCCACAGAGACTGTCTCTGTGCCCCAACCACAATTATTCAAAGAGAAAGTAAACACAAGAGGATTTAAACATAAAAACCTAAAATAATATAACCAACTCTGCAATAGCACCAACTAAACTAATTAAATGTGGATTATAAGACGTCAGATCTCCGTCACCTAAAGCTGTCCTAGTGAATGAATCAATATCATATATTATATATTATATTGATTTACTGTCTTACTGAGACCTGGCTGTGCCATGAAGAATATGTTAGCCTAAATGAATCCAGAAGAAAAAAAGATCTTTTTACAAATAAATGCAAAATGGTGGAGTATCTTTAGGGACAGATGGGCGTGGCCTATATTAGTACAGTTGGCATCATCGAAGGAACTCACTGTACAAAAATGTTTCGATTCAGAAGTTATTAGCAAAAATGTAAAATGCTTAATAACCGACCACATGGTGGCGCTGTTGTTGGAGTAATCTCATTGTACTCTGTGTACTCTCAGTGTCAGAGTATGGTTGCATATGGTGGTGATGTCACTGTGCATTGATCTGAATGCTGTTTGCTAGTGAACAAAGACTGTGGATTTTGGGAGCATTTGAATGAACACTTGTGAACGTATTCATGTTGATTCGACATATTTTGAAGTATATGATGGACTTTTGAACAGACCAAAGGTTGGAGTGAGGCAAACCTTTGTGAACTTAGTGGATGTGCTGAAGATGTTTCAGCTCTGTAGGATGTACGGAAGCTTTATTTAGATTTTATAAAATGTTGGAAATGCTTAATAACCGACTACATGGTGGCGCCATTGAACACATGCTTCAATATGTTTAGCACATCTCCATGGGGCAAATGTGTACCACGCTGTAGCATTATAGAGTATTAGAGATTTTGCTTGCAGGAAGCACACAGTTGTAAAACTCCACTGAGGACATTAATGGGTCGAGTAAAGGATCAAAGAGCTCTCTGTATTTTATCTGACTGAACAGTTTGATTATTAGTTCCATAACCAGCATTTAAGCCTGAAGTCTGTCTGAGAGTAAATAAGTGTAAAGACCTTTCACCTCGTCTTTTCTCCCACAGTTCAGTCTGGTTACATAAATGAACCTGTTTTACCTGCAGAACAAACACAGCAGGACAGGATGATGTTTCAGGTCCACGTCCACATCAATCTGTCCTACATTCTCAGGGTCATATGAGCAGAGACATGCAGGTCATATACACTGCTGACATGAACTGATAGACAGAATAAACAGAATATTCTCACAACAAAACAAATGTAATGTGAAAATGTGAAATGTTTGGTGTTAACTTTGTCTATATTGTTATTACGTGACACTGTTTGAGGAAACTGTGCTGAGAACAGATAGATTGAGGAATATAACAATATAATAATAAACACTGAGTGCAGTTTAATTCAAACACTTAAAACAAAACTTAACGTGACTGAGAGGAGAGAGCTGGCTGCAGCCTCACCAAATACTAAAAAATACAAACACAAAGTCAAAGTGATAAAGCAACCGCACTGTTTGTGTGCATTTTACTCTGAATAGAAACTGTGGACCTCTCCTCCCTCCCGCTCTGCTCACAGTGAACTGAACCAGGAACCAGGAACCAGTGTGAGTAGATGCGTGTTTCCAGGGGAGTATAGTGGTGATGAAATCCAGAAGCTGTGGATATACACTGCAACCTCTATATTAACCCTTCAGACACACAGGAGCTGATAAACTGTGTGAATTTGTGTTAAATCCTTTAGCTGCAGCTCATTAATAAACCCTCTTTTATTCTCACAGAGTTTATTGTGTTTGTGCAATTAAACAAAACTCAAACTAAAATTCTACAAATATTTTCATTTTATTGTACTTACAATTTTTGCACAAAACATTGTAATAACACTTAATGAGAATTTTACTGAGCAGCATCACAACAACCCATTCATACACCTCCATACTGAGCATGTGCAAACAAAAGGACATTAAAAACAGACAGGAAATCAATGCTAATGCTTAATTACAAACAGCTTTAACACTGCAGCGTCTTTGTTCTCGTGTGCAAACACAGACACACCTGGATTTCAAATAGAAGGTTAAAATATAGAGACTGTGAGGGAAAACTCGATATGACGAGCAACCAGTAATTGACAGCCTGTCATCCTGCTAAAAATGAGGTATAACTAGTTCCCTTAAGAAAAATAACAAAAAAGTAACATGAATAACACATTTCATTCCAAAAACTGCTGTTGTAGCTGATGTTGTAACTGAACGTGTGTAGATTATTGTGAAAAAGAAACCAGATAAACTTCACCTGTGTCATGTTGGGAAACCATCTGAAGCAACAGCTCCTGTGAAATATTAAACCATCACCTCAGCTGGAGGCCGGTGGTTAGTAACACTGGACTCTGTGATGGACAGTTTTAGTAAGTTTGATCGATAATGGCAGAGATCATTAGAACGATGTTACAAAGACAACAGTCATCATTTGTCTTGGTGGCAACACATCTCTACATGAACTAAAGAGCAACTTCTGTTAACGTCACAGCTGCTGTTTGGGAAGAAGGACAATAGCTGAGGTTTGGTTTGAGGGGGACACAGTGACGTCTCTGGGGTCTCACTCTCATTCTAACAGACATGTATCCATAGTAACTTATCGCAAATATTAACTGAAAATCAGCAATAGACAATGTGTGAATGCTTGTTTCCATCCACCAGCAGTATGTGAGCTGGTTCATCAGATAAGCAGTAGGTGGCGCCAATTCTCCAGTTGTGAAACCAGAAGAAGAGACTACAGCCATTTTTAATTATACAGTCTATTCTCACACTAAACTAATCTCTCTGGGTCGCTCGGTTTGGATTGTGAGAAACTGTGACATTTTAAAGATCGACCGATTGTTCTATTAATCATGAAAGTAATCCTGAGTTGCAGTAGAGTAGAGGTAGAGGTGGTCACAGGTAACCTCTTAAACAATAACAAAGTTCAGGTGATATATTAAGAGTCCAGAACGGCAAACTTTGTTTCAAGTAGATGAGTTTACAGTGATGTGCAACAGGACAACAGGACATTTAAAAAAAAAACCCGAACCACAAATGTGGTTCCCGTTCAGTAGTACGGCCCGGTATTCTCGTATCCTGCGTAACTCGGCCAATCGGGGAAGATACCGTGTGAACAGGTGGGGCTGCCGTATCGGTCAAAATGAATCCCAAAGTCAGACTGGCGGCTGCAGGCGTCCCGGTGGCTCCTCTTCCTGGAGGACCAGACGATGCTGTAGTTCTCCCCGTGGTTGCTGTCCCAGTACTCACATCCACCCACCTCATAACAGACGGCGAACTCAACGCGCTCGTGCGGCCCCAACTCATCAGGTAGAGACACGTTGAAGGAGAACGTGTCGCTGTACGAGCTGGGATACGTGTCCTTCATGTACACACAGTCTACATCTATGTGGCTCTTCCAGGTGTCAAAGGTCACCCGCAGCTTCACAGACTTCTCAAAGGACACGTTTTTGACCTTAATGGTTCCTGCTAAGGCCTTCTCCTTCAACACGCAGTGCTCCAGACAGACGTAGTTCCTCTCCAGTCTCTGACGGAAGTGCAGGTAGTCCGAGGACGGCTGAGTGAAGTCCAGCACCAGCTTGTCCTCCTTAGCTGTCAGAGAGAGAGCCGAGTTGAGCATCTCCTGGATGTTCTGAGGAATATCGATGGGATCGTTGAACTCAGAGAAGATCTTCACTTTGGTTAGAGACAGGCCTTTATCATCAGCAAACGTCACACGCTTCTTGGCTTTCCTGGAGGATCTTCCATCCTCGGGCTCAGTCTGATCTACGCAGCGAGAGTGCTGGAACCTCATGCAGGAGTTCAGAGCAGGTCTTCGAGTTTTGGGAGACGTCCTGTAGACAAACTCCTCTTTGGACAGGTACAGAGGTAACGCCATGTCAATTGGCATGGTGAGCTCGGGAGGAAACGCGCTCAGTGCACTGAAAGAGAGAGGAGACATATGATGGACTGTGGACACACTGAGTCTGATCTACTATAGGCACACATTTTATATCAGGGTTTTTAAAAATATAATTATTATTTTTCTTCCTGCCACCTACTACTCAGCTCCTCCACCAACTCCTAATAATGGATGGAAACATCATTATTTTATTTCACCCCCCCCGATTTCCTCTAAATGTGGTTAAAATCTTCGACACATTTAGATGGAACACTGTCGTATTATACGTTATATCACATTATATTATATCATATTATAATATATTATATTATATCATATTATATTATATTATATTATATCATATTATATTATAATATATTATATTATATTATATCATATTATATCATATTATATCATATATTTCACTTATATTATATTACCAGTGCACATACACTGAGAATTAGTTTAAAATGAAAGTTAGGAGGGGGTCCGGCCACTAAAGTCGGCTAAGCTTCACTTCTACATCTCTGTGGAGAAAACTCACTTAGATTTTAGTTTAAAGTGTATTTATTATTATTATTATTATTATTATTAGCCCCAAGCACTGGCCGTGTGAAGGCCCCTATTGTAATTGAAGGAATTCTTCTTTTTCTTTTTCTTATTTTTCCTCCTAAAAATCGCATATTTGGAAGCTTGCCCGTGCTCGAAATTCCATGAAACGCGGCGAGCATGTCAGTCGTGGCGAAAATTCAATATTCGGTGTGGTGCTTTTGGGTTGGGCCACTAGGCTGGCCACTACTATCATGAAGTGCGTTTAGCTAATAACTTCTGCATAGTTTTGTCGCACATTCAAAAACCTTATATCCCACGTTGGGTGAATGGAGCTGCATCTCCCCATATAGGCCACGCCCAAGTAGCATTGGGGACTTCGTGGCAAAAAACAGTAATTTAAAGAATTTTCTAGCCCATTATAAAATTAGCACTTCCTGTAAGATTTTGCTCAAACAGGAAGTGAGCATTTCTCCACATTGGTCCGAATTGACACAAGCTTGGGTCATATTCCTCATGTCTTCCTTAGGCATAACACAATTTCAGGCCATCACCACAAGGGTGGCGCTCCCCCTTTAAAATGAAGAAGTTTATAATCTCTGCATCGGCATGTGTGATTAAAATGAAACTTGGTTTACTTTGCTGATCAAAAGTTGTGCCTGTTTGTTGACTGTACGTTTAACCGCGTGCCTCGTGAACGACGTGTTGAATTCCACCGATGGCCATAAAACAATAGTACTCTATATTCAGTACCCCTGAAACACGTCTCTAACTTCAATGGGTCGTGGTCCAAATCTCAATGAAACTTCACACGTTTGATAACCTTCCCACCCTTGAACACATCATACATGACGATAATTCAATATAAGTGAGATGCCACCTACTGGCACAGGAAGTAAGCGCTGTTTGATGCAATTATGAACTTGATTCTGTGAATTCCGTGAATTTTCCAGCACGCCCAAGGGTTGCTGCGAGTGCGAGGTCCCGTTCATCGCCTGCTTGCAGCTTTAATTAACTATTATATTTGATCACAGTGTATTTTTTATTATTATTGATCACCAGGGTACAGTGCAGAGCTTTCAGTCTCTGATCAACAGCCTCGTCCTGCATTCAGAAACCAAATCAGCTGATAATCAATAAACATGAATCTGTCAGAAAGAAAAATATTAGTCTGATTGTTAAAATAATAAAATACGAATACAGAGAATGATCAATATATCAGGAAAAACTGTGATCAAGATTCACAGGAAAATGACGTAAACTGCATTTACTGAGTCACTTGTTTTGGGGTTATTGATCAGTTGATCAGCTACTGTTTACTGATACTGACAATGAATATATTCAGAAACATACAGTGAGTTCTTGCATTGAGGAAAGCAGCCTGTATCTGCCAGTACTTATCTGTAATCTGTATCTGCATCTGCCCAGTACTGTATCTGTATCTGCCAGTACTGTATCTGTATCTGTATCCTGCATCTGGCCCATACTGTATCTGTATCTGTATCTGCCATTGCCCAGTACTGTATCTTATCTGTATCTGCCCAGTACTGTATCTGTATCTGTATCTGTATCCTGCCCAGTAACTGTATCTGTATCTGTATCTGCATCTCCCCAGACTGTATATCTGTAATCTGATCTGCACAGTACTGTATCTGTATCTGTACTGGTACTGTATCTGTACTTTCTGTACTGTATCTGTATCGTGTACTGTTCTGTATCTGTATCGTATCTGTACTGTATCTGTATCTGTAATCTGCCCAGTACTGTATCGTGTATTGTATCTGCCCCAGTACTGACTGTATCTTATCTGTACTGTATTCTGTATCTGCATTCTGTATCTGTACTGTATCTGTATCTTGTATCTGTACTGTATCTGTACTTGCATCTGCCCAGTACTGTATCGTTCTGTATCCTGCCCAGTAATGTATCTGTATCTGTACTGTATCTGTATCTGTACTGTTCTGTATTGTAATCTTATATTAATGTACTGTATCTGTATCTGTATCTGCCCAGTACTGTATCTGTATCTGTCAGTGTCTCCCAGCGGTCTCACTCTTCCTGCAGGTAATGCAGAACACACCCCCCCTGCGCGTCTCGACCGGCAGCTGCTTACAGGTAGACCCGCACAGGTAGACCCGCACAGGTAGACCAGAGCACGGACTTTACCTGGAACTCTTTCGGACAACCATCTGTCGGGCTCTGCTTTGAGGTGACGCGGGCAGCCGGTCTGCAGTGGGTCGGAACCAGGTCTCTGTGGAGTCCAGACGTCCTCTCCCTCCCTCTCTCTCTCCCTCTCTCCCTCCTCACACTCCCAACATGTTGCATATTTCTCTCGTGGCTCAAAGCCCACACGGGGTTCACGTGAACAGCGACAGGCAGCCAATCAGAGAGCGCGGCGGCGGAGTGATCGACACAGAGCGCAGCGTCACCTTGGCCGCAGGACCTCTGCTGACAGCCGGTATGGAAGCTCCTTCATGCCAAAACTGCTCATTCTGACCTAAATGTAATCCATTCCAGTTACAGAAAATACAACTGAATTTATCAACAAAGAATCCTATAAAGTCTGTCTGATTGTTATGAATAATCTTATTACAGACTAAACAGGAAAACTCTGGTTTTTAACAAACTTTCTGCAGTTACTGAGTTTGTTTGGGGTTTTAAATTTTTTTTAACAGTTTTAAATATAATATGAAATATCCACAAAATCGGTGACTGAGTCCGTTTACTGACTGACAGAAAAAGGTTCCTTAAGGCAGTGGATCCTCCTCATTTTTTTCCTTAAGGAACTCTGATGTTTTGTACAAACTGTGCTTGTTCAGTTTCTTTTTTGATTTTATCCAGTGACATGATCAGTAAACAGTTTTCAGCTTTATGATCACATTTCATTTGCTCTACTTCTTTTTTGAATCAATTTAACTTTTTAAACACACTGTTTTTTAATTACATGTTCACATAAAATTGTATTACTTTATTTGATATTAATAATCCTATTTTTATTTTTATATAATAGGTATCAAAAGTTGCTTACTTACATTAGGAGTTTTTTATTTTTTGTATTGCAAGTTGTCTGAAATAATTCGATAATGCCTCATTTGAATATTTAAATTTGTTCTCATTTGTACTTTCAGTCACACTATCAGGAGTCCAGAGCCAGTTTATAGCACATTGAACACTTTACATAATGCATAAACACATTAAAAGAAACCTTATTTAATGAATGAAAACAGGGACATAGATACAGGGTAAGAGGGTGAGGTGGTCCTCTAAAGGTGGTCTAATGTCCTCTGGAGGACTGCTGCCTCTCCATTTGTAGTGAGCAGCTGGCCTCAGAGGCCCAGAGGTCACTGAGACATTTATAGACAAGCAGCAGGACTCTGACACCCTGAAGCCGGTGAAGAGACCTGAGAACTGCTGTGATGTGTTCAGGGACTTTCTGACTGAGCAGAAGTTGCAGCATTAAAGTGCATCAGTAAATAAAGGCTCATTTTGGCCTCTGTTGACCCTGCAGTAACAAAGTTACGAAACTGATGGCTGAGGCTCATCATGTAAATGTTTGTTCAGGGAACCTGAGCGAAGATCAGGTTTATGATAAGTTATGAGGTCTCTGACAAGGACCCTGTCCCTGACTGCACCGCCATATGCTGGGCTCTTTCCTCATCAGTGTGACTGAAACAGCAGCAGTGAAACATTAATCTCAGGTCAATCACAGCTGCACACTCTGAGCTCTCTGAACGTCCTGAAACAGGCCAAACACTACAGAATGTGATATGGGCTGCACACTTATTCAAAGTAACAAGCTGCGGTTGTTTGATGAAGGTTAAATGTGCACTGTTAAAAAAATTCAGTAAAATATATTCCGCCCGCTGGAGCTGCAGCTATAAATACAAGCAAACACTGCTATAATACAAATATTCAGGCTTAAATTTACTGAAGAGTGCTGTTATTATTGAAATTTTCTTATTTTAATCAGAATTTTAAAAGTAAACTGTCACTAATTTTACATCATTTTAGAAATGTATCAACAGTATTAAACTTGAATTTAACAGTTTAATATATTAAATAAACAGTAAATATCTGTGAATAAATTATAGATTTGCAAATGTATTTTAATCTTTTTATGTAGGAAAAATGAAATGTTCTCTAAATAAGCAGTAATTTTATGAGGATTAACAGTCAGTCAATACAGAAAGAATCTGTAAAATTAATGGGAAAACTTCTTTTACAGTGTGCGTGACAGCAGCATTATGATGAAGTAATGCAGCTCTGCAGAGAAGTCCTGACCTACAAATGCTGCTCTCGATGTAAGAAAACATGTTTGTTTGGTACTACCGACCCCAACAGATGATCAGATTATCAGGTTCCATCATATTGTTCAATCAAATCATTTTGCAATATCTGTCAAAATATCTGCAATATGATGTTTTGACCACATGGTGCAGCCCTAATGTAAGTCTTTATTTCTACAATAATGTTGTAATGTGTAACAACGCTATTATGTAATAACTCCACGAAACATAATACATCACTTCTTTAAGTAATAACACCCATTTTATTATAGACACCTGAACCTAATATGTAATATATTTTATTGTTATTAAAAAAATATATATTTTTATTAAACTAAAAAAATAAGCAAAATTCATATGAAATAAGCAAAACTTTATTATTTTAGTAGTTGATAGTGATACATTTATTACAGTAATCTATGAAATAACAAAATCATTGACTAACGACTATATTTTAAGGAAAAGCTGAATTTTTTCAGTTCGAGGTGGGAACACAAAATCTGACAAAATCAAAATGTTTGGTTTCACATGTTAATCAATAAGTTTATTTTATTCTAAAAGACAAATAAGTTTGATATTAATTTGACTTGTAAAGTACACTGGATCAGTGGGTACCAAGTATCTGATATAAATGACTCCTTGTAGTTTTTGAGATTCTGTGTTTAGTCGTTAGTCACTAGATGTTCTTCAATTCATACAAAATAAGCAAAATTGATCTAAAATAAGCAAAATCATTAATCACAAAATTACAAAGCCTCTTAGGCAACCAGGAAGTGGTTTGACTCTTGGGTTTTACCCTAAAGTGTTTTTTTTACATTCAAAAGGTTTCTATGGGGAACTTAAAGTATTTGTATCATTTATTTTCAACCCCATCGTCCCCAAAACCAAAAGTTATGTTTGTAATGTTTGTAATGTTTGTTATACTTCTCTTTATACCCCGACAGCAATCAATAAATCAGACAAAACAAGACACAAAAACAATCTTACTAAAATACACTGTAAACTGGCAGCTGTGGTTGCCAGAACATATACGGTAAAAGGATAGTTTTTAGTTTAGTTTTTTTTAATACGTTTTTTAAATAAACTGATGATGATGAATGCTATGATGGTAGATTTCTGTGCAATTTGTCTGTAATATAAAAATATAAAATGCTGTATAAATAAAGGTATTTTTACTGTCATGGTTTAACAATTTTTCACTATAAAATCTATTTTATAATCTATCTGTTGTACAGTGTAAGAAAAATGAATATGGCAAAATTAAGAAACATTTGTAAAAAATAAGCAAAATCAAAAGTAATATTTTTTGTTATACTTTATAGAAAAATCTCTTTACATTTTAACATTTCAGAAGAATCAATCTTAATATAATCAATAATCTTTTTTTATATTTGTTAAAATGAAGACAATGCGTCTGTTGCAGGCCTCTAATGGGCTTAGCCAATCGTTGGCTTCGGTCTGAATGAACTGATTGGAAATGATGCAGCAGGCAGGAACTGTTGTGAATGTGTTTTCGGGGAATGGCTTTGGAGGGAGGCCTGAAGGGAGACCGTGCGATTTTTTAAGTTGTTACTTTACAATTAAGCCGCCTCTTACGAGGGTGTCTAACGTTTCCTACCCTTTGTTTGGTTTACTGTAGAAACATGGCGGACTCTCTGTAAATAAAAAAGGCTCATTCTAAAGAAATAAAAACTTCATACAAAATAAGCTAAATCTGTAATTACGAAAGGAAGCATTATTTACAAAAGTAGGCACAAGTTGCGTAAAATAAGCAAAATCCTTAAATGTAGAAAACAAGAAAATGGTTTAATTACTAAAATGAGCAAATCCTTTATCTCAAAATTAAGTAAGGTTTGTACAAAATAAACAAAACCCTGAATTACTAAACACTGGACAAAAAGGAAAGATCCAATGGTATCCAGAGCATATCATATAAAAATAAATGTAAAATCTGTTAATGATCCACATCTGTAATCCTCTGGATACAGACAGATACCGACCATTTCCAAACGTATCTCCACCTCGGATCCGTTTCAAATTAAAAAAATAATCACAAAATTGAGTGAAATGCATAAAAACTAAGCTAAATTATTAATCACAAAATCAGGCAAAATTCCTGTTTTTACTGTACAAAAATAATAATAATTCTTAACTAAAAATAAAACTAATTAATTTTCTAGAACTCATTTGAATTATTCTGATTATTTTCTGTCCTGCTGTCGAACCATCTACAATACAAAACATTTTCAAAGTCCTGGAGGAGGAAATCTTGATCACAAGAAAAAAACATGTCAACCACAAGGGGGCACTAAAGTAAAGTAATAAACTTAATATCTCAATATACCTGCTAATGAAACTATATATCTGTGAGGTGTTTTTAAAGATATACGCCTTCAGCAGCAACAAACAGGAAGTCAGAAAGTATTGAGAGACGGACCAACATGTTGTTGGTTTTGGTCTTTTCATGCTCAGGGTAATAAAAATATAATGAGTATAAAAATGTAAAATCCTGGACTGAGCTGATGGCTGTGTGTCAGCTGTGAAATCCATGTGGATGTGAGAGGAGCTCCTTGGAGGTCCTACTCTGCTCCCTGAGCTCCTTCCTCTTCAGTCGGACCTCCTCCAGCTGCAGGAACACCCGGGTTATAATCATCCAGCTCAATGTTCTCCTGTCTGCCCGGCTTCTGCCCCCTGCAGGCCTGGAGAGACACGACAGCATGAGTCCTCTGTTCAGTTCAATAAACACAGACTGAGTGCTTCATGTAAGTCAGTCTTCTAAACAACAGTGTCAGTACCTTACAGTAGAAATAGAGGGCAGTGGTCACCACCAGCAGAGTCAGCAGCACGACGACCTCTCTGATGAACTGATGATGAACTGATGGATCTGATCAAACACATGGACAGTCATCACATCACACAATCTGTGAACTAGTTTGTACTTGAAAATGAAAGTTACTGCAGGAGAAGACTACAAGTGTTGTCAAGTTGCAGTTTTCACGGTGTGAAATGTTATTAAAAGATAGCAGTTTAGGGGAACTGTGGAGGTCAAGATTAGATCTGGAAAACCAAATATCATTGACAATCTGTTGGTGGATCTGAAAAGAGCTGTTCATGCAAGATCCCCCAAGGTTAGAGAACTAGAAGCCTCTTGCAAGGAATCATGTGAAAAAAGTGCACCATGATACAATGATGGTTTTATTATTTTATATTTGTGTATTTTTCCCATAGTGAGATAGTGAGTATAAGACAACATTTGGTTTCCAGGATAACCCTGGTCTGAGCACACTGCTCTTCTTGCCTCTGTTAGGTGGGGGAACTGGACTATAAAATGGTGATTTGGGGCTGAGGGCTGTTATGACATTTGTGTCAGAAGGTGTTTCTCACAGTCACATACGTCAGTCAGTTCTCAGAGAAGTGATCCTGGTAACCAAACACGCTTGGTGCCACAGTATATTGTTTGCTGTTGACATTGACACACTTATATAAGTTTGGATACTATATGACATGTGTAACACAATGACAGCAGTCACAGTGTTATTCAGACAACAACATGCATTGTCTCTGTTGTCAGCAAGTTGCATGTAAACAGTCAGTGAGACAGTTTCTCTGCTTCAGCTTACCTGAGACAGTGAGAGAGAGCAGACGGCTCTCAGAGGAGAAGTTATGAGAGAAAACATAGACGTGATAAACACAGCTGTAGTTTCCTTGGTGGGCGGGCTCTGCAGCAGGAAACAGGAAGTGGGCAGAGTGATTGACAGCTGGCTGGGTGTAGTTGTGCGTTGTGTTGGAGGAGGTGAAGGTGAGCTG